AGCTGTGCAGCTGTTCTTCACCACTGTAGCTGCTTATTCTGGGAAACTCAGAAAATCCCTATTTTTGGTTAATGTCTGGTCAGGTCATTTGTTCCAGTTGTCCAAACCAGTCCAAACCTAAATGATTCAATCTCTTCATGAATCAATGTATTCTTTGCAAAGCCTAGTGCACAGGTAGGTTAGGTTGCAGCCAAGGTCTTTTTATAGATTAGTCCAAAATAGAAGAACAGAGAAGCACTGAAAATCCAACCAGTAGCATAAACTGGATGCTTACGACTATGACCAAAGTATATCCCTTTTCCTGTATTTTATTGTAGCGGAAGGATAAATACTAGCAAGGTAGGGAATATGAACTGGTTGAAATAAATGTCCGGCGAAGATTCAGGGGGAAGTGTGGGCAAGAATCAGCTGCCACAATCAATGTCCATCATGGTGGACACAGCCTTCAGTCTTTAGTATCGTCAGATCATACATTTGCGACAACATGTATGTATGAAAGCAGTTACTGAACGAGTTGAATTGCACTACAATTTTAATTTCAACTTTAATAGGTGGTCATGTATTGTAATAATAATAATATCCTTTCTATTTAGTCATTACTTTTGTTCTGCTCATCAGGGCTTGTTGACTCAAAGTCAGTCATAAGTCGCACATTGCATATTTGTACACTATGATGTTATCTGAATCCACCATCTTTTAACGGTGGTGGGCCTCCAGTCTCATCTCATTTAAGGACTCTGTCATGTGAATACCACAACGGCCACTGAAGACCATTAAACCATCCTTTCCATAGTCAGGGCTGCAACAAAAATTCCAGCAGAATTATGACTGTGGTCTCTGTTCATTATGTGGATGGTGCTGTCTTGTTAATGTTGTAACAAATGGTTAGGTTTATTCCCATAACCACATAATAGCAGTGATGGTGTAACTCCAATAAGGTCACTGTTACACAGTCACAAGAGTTTGAGTTCCATTAGCTTATTGGTGGACTTCCTGGTGGCATGATTTACTGAAAAAATGAATTTGGCCCATGTAATACCTCCTTTTTCTAAATGTAATGCAAAAATGCTAAAAAATCATTAAAAAAAAGACTGAATCGTGGATAAATTCTGAAACAATAAACTGTCTTTTGGCACACATTGGCATGGCACTGGGAAAAAGCATGCTGTTTCACTTGCTATATTTTCTATGAAATGTGTGAAAGTAACGTATTGCTGTTTCTGGACATGAGCACTGGCAAATACGGAAGTCTGTTTGTCATAGTTTCCAGGAAAAAAACACAATAAATTCTAGGTCTGCATTTAGATTTATGAAGTGAGATTAACAAGTGTTAATGAAAAAACTGCTGTCTCAGACTATGTGTCTTTGACAAGTTTGACAGTTTGGTCACCCATGCTGCCTCGCCACTTAAATTTAAGTTGTGTGTTCTTGATATTCTTTGGCAGTTTGGTCATTGTCTGTTGCCATTTGAAAGAACTGCACTGTTATATTTTTGAATGATGATTTAAGTTGTTGACATCAAGCATTTTAATATGTAGTTTTCCACTGACTGGAAATAACTCAAGTCTAGATTTAAGTTCATTATGTATTTCACTGGTGGCTGCACTACCACAGGAATACTGAAAGCAGCAGACTGACAGTTGCTGGGTTGTAATGAAAATGGAAATCTATTGATTGTCAAACGATTGTGGTCTTTTGCATGCAGTTATAGGCCAGTGGGGAGAGTGGGCAGAAACTGACAAAGGGGAATATGTGTGTGTGAGAGAGAAAGAGAGAAATGCACCGATTCCGTCTCTGTATGAGGGCACACCCCTCACTGCAGTATTATAAATCAGGTAAAAAAAATCTTTACTTGTTTGATGCAGTTGATGAGAGCAGGTTTGTATTGCTGAGTTGTGTTATACTCCATTATGACTGTATTAGGGCTGCAGCTAGCGATTATTTTCATTATGGATTTTGTTTTCATTAATCAATGAATCATTCAGTCTATAAAATTACAGAAAATAGAAAAATAAATCTCCAATATATTATATTCATTTCACAAGGACAAATGAATGCTTATTAAATGACTAAAATAACTAATTGATTAACAAAAATGGTTAATTTTCTGCACATAAATGACTATTTCCAGAATGTTGTCATTTTGAGTGACAAATGTGCATTTTGTTATAATTTATTCCCATGTGCTTTACCAGCTTCTAACTGAATGCTGAAAGTTGATTCATCTGTCAGTTATTTTAGAGCTACAATAATTTTTCAAGCAAAAAAAACTCTAAAAATGTAATAATGAAAGTATTTGTAGATATTTAACTTAAAGATTAAAACAACACTAAGAAAAACAGCAATTCAAATTCAAATCTATAATCTGGAAACAGTGAATGCTGGACATCAGTCATTGATAAAAGACTTAAATAATTAATCAAATACCAAAATTGTTGTCAATTCACTGTTTTTGTTGTCTCACTGATGGATTATTTACTACTCTACTACTGAAATGTAGGTCATTTCTTCCAAGTGTAGTCAATGCTGACTTATTATCTAAAGTGTTTTTTCTTTATCCACATCAGACTTAATCATATTTCAGTATTTCCATGAAAAAGGTGAAATAAGTATGCACATGATATTTTATGGTCAAAATTAGAGTGAGCTAATGAATGACAGTTTCAGGGCAGCGTGCTCTAAAGTATGATCTATGCTGGTTCTGTATTCCAGCCACTGATGACTGTGTTGTAATGTGTTGCTTCAGGGTGTGGTTTCTAGGGAAGGATCTGGGCTCTGTTTCACACTCCTCCATCACTATCACATACACACAAACACAGGCACAAAAATACACACATTACGTGTGTCCATGAGCTCAGCAGATATAGAGCTTGTATCATCTGAGCTGCATACAAAACCATATTATGCTTTTTCCTTTTTTCTGACGGGTGAAGGAGTGGCTGCAGTTCATTACAGTGATGAAACACTGGGTCCATAGCCAGGGGTGTAAATCATTGCACACATGGGCTGATGGGAGAATATGGAAGTATGTTCCTCCTAGCAGGGCTAGGAACTGAGTCCTGCCATTTTATATTTGAGTGTGAATGTATTACTGAGGCTATACTTGTTGGAGTACAACCTAATATTATCATTTTAAAAAACTAGTTATGTCATAAAGATGGACTTTAAACATTTGTTTCTCCAGAGCAATGCATGGTTTATTGTGCTTTGAGGGGACTTCACCCATATGCAATATACATAGTGTAATTGATATGTTGTTTTATGTATTTAACCAGCAGATATTAAGCATCTTTGCTTGAAAAACAATTATTGTAGAATAATTTCCCATTGATCGATTAGTCAGTTCAGCCTATCTTCATGTGGCCAGTTGACTAACCAGCAGCTTAAATGAACAGTTTGCCCACACATCACCCAACCAACCTCCCCTCTATCTGTGTACTCCTTCACCCTGTCAGACAGCCTGCTCTTCACTGAACCAGCTATCCCACAAGTCAGCAAAACCAGGCGCCCAGTCTCCTCTCCTCTCTAGACTGTCTCCCTGCAGTCAACCCGTCGCTATGACAACGGTCTGCTAGAGTCAGCCCGTGGTGCAGCAGCAGCAGCAGATTTGATGTCTGACTGTGTGGCGTCATGGCAACGCCCAGATCAGACCATATTACGAGATGTAAGGTTGAAGGGTTCCTCAGATGTGACAGTGCTCTGTAGTTCCATTTTAGCGCAGCAAAGTGGGCGTGTGCAAGGTTTATTTTCTCATGCAGATTAAAAATATCCTGCATCATAAAATGATCGATAATCAGCATTGTGGCTATTGCATTTGGTCTGTTAAAAAAATGGATTATACAGAGAAAATAACATCCACAGTTAGGATTGTTGCATAATAAAATCTGGATAAACATTGGTTAAGATGTTAATCCATGATCAGTCTTTAAAAGCAGCTTCAGTTCTGCTTCCAACAGCAAACTGTCATCTTCCCAAACATCACCACTATGACTGGTCCAGGTCATTTTACTGCAGATGAATAAAAGTTACAATGGAAGCTGCTCTGTCTATCTTAATGAATGCCTTCTAGTTACTGTTTTGGTGAAGCATGCATATGTTATCAAACTGGCACTCCCAGATTGACCCAGTCAGCATTTGCACCACTAAATGTTATTTGTGTGGGCTGGAATGTAGATATCTTGATGATGGTGACAATGATAATGATCACAAGAATAACTGTGTGCAGCAGTAATCTTATATTAGTAAATGTATTAAACCAGATTTAATTGGGCACACATGACTACAGAGCAGACAAGCAATAGAGAAAAGTAGTTACACACACTTGTAGCTTCTCCTTTGTTCTTGCAAGGGGAGAGTGAAGCGATGGAGTTGCAATCTGCAGATGCATATTACAAATGGCACTAAATCCTGAACACTGGACCACTAACATGGGTTGACTATTAATAACGGCATGCATATCAGGGTGTCACATGGTGACACATGTATGACAAATACATGCAAATTCAACATAAGGTAGTAGTAGACGTTTTTTTATGTCTGTGTATGTTTAACAAGCTGCATTGGTTACTGCACAGTTTCCATTGTGGGATAGTGCTAGCTAGCTAGTGGGGTTTTGCAAGCTCGGTATTGCTTAATGGAATCATTTAACACGGCTATCAAGAAAATGTCGATGCAGATATGTGTTGCTTGCAGGGGAAATCAAACCAATTTGCTGCGCAAGACCACAGGGAGAGCTGGGCAGGCAGACCCACATGGTGGTCTCTTCGTAGCCCTGAATGAATGGATGGATGAAACATTATTCATCTCCTCTGGGTGGAAAAAAAGGACATAATTGAACACCAGCTCTAAATATAGAACAGGAATCGTTTGGCATAGTAGATAGTCCTCCAATGAATCTTCTTTATGACAATGTTTCAAGCCAAACTGGGTCTTTGTTGGAAGAAAATTGCGTTGAATCATAACATTTATTTTTTCCCCTCTTCCCATCCCTTTCTCTACAGAGCGACAGGCTTCTGATCAAAGGAGGGAGGATTGTGAACGATGACCAGTCCTTCCATGCCGATATCTACTTGGAGGATGGCGTCATTAAGTAAGTCCTCCGCTGTCCTCCTCTCTGCTCTGCTTTTATTCACTCCTGTTTGCTTTCATCTCACCACGACCACTCAGGCTCAACATTCATTTGATCAGATCAATGTTGCCGAAAGTAAAACTTCTCTTGACATGTATGCAAAATGTTAAGAGATCTTGATCATTCCATCCGATGGGTTGGCCAGGTGAATTTGTGTAAAAGGGAAATTCCTGTTCCTTACTGTCATATTTTTGTCCATTCTGAGTTTGCTCGCAATGCTTGTTGTAGAAATGTGCGACATATGCAACTACCGTTTACTCAATGTAATAACCTAAACCTGTCTGAACAGAGCTGGTTTGGCACAATGGACAGAAATAATGAACACCTAGGTTGACAAATGATCTCAAATGTTAGATTAGATTAATTATTTATGTATGAAAACTTTTTTTTAACCTTGAGACAGATTGGTTTCTTCACTCTCAGTGATACAGGGAAGTCAAGCACAAATATTGCTTATAGCTATTATTGTCTAAATGAACCCAAACTAAATATAGCAATCTAATTAACTCTCCTTCTAGCATGAGTGATATGGAAACATGGAAAATGCACACTGCTTGCTGACCTGAACAGAAGAAACATTCTTTCTAGGGTTTGCCACAGTTGTCATTTTGTCAAAGTTAAGGTATGGTCATAACAACCAGTCTAGTCCCCAATTTTATGCACTAGCGTGTCCCCACCCCACCAGACAAGGCAAGGGTAGTTTGGGTGAATTCCTCTCTCTGTGTCGCCCTGAATCAGTCCGCCCTTTCCATCACTCTCGTCCCCCCCGTTCTGTTCCTACTTGATTTTCCAGTTATAGCCCCTTTGTCTCCCCTTGCCCCTTAGTGAGGCAGCTCAGAGAGAGGCACCCACAGGGAGCCTGGTGTTGCATAATAAACACCCAGATGCCTGTTGGACCATGGGGCTGCTGGCAAACTCACAGAGACACTGGTTTCTGCCTGTCTGTCTGGTCCCTTCTGTAAAGTCTGAACAACAGGGGTGAATATTGATGCGTTGACATGGTGACAGTGTGCTGCTTCAAGCGTGACTTTGCTTTGGGGTCAGTCTAAAGTTAAAAACTAAAACGTTTTGCTGTTGATTTAAATGTATTAGAAAGATGTCTTTCCTTAACAACTTATGTTTAGATATTTGTACTTGCATTGGTACACATATCTGCATAAAGAAATCAAATATCAGTTCAAAACTGTTTATAAATCTGATTTAGTAAACTTGTTTTTTTTATTCTACTATGTAATTGCAACAATGTTACATATTTGGGTTTGATTGAGGATTTGGGCCACCTCCAGAACATAGTACATTCCATATTCAGATTCAATGTACTGTCATTACACAGCTCAAAATTTTTTTATTATTATATGCTATATATAATTATGACATTCTCTTCCCTCGACAGGCAGATCGGCGACAACCTGATCGTGCCCGGTGGGGTGAAGACCATTGAGGCAAACGGGAAGATGGTGATCCCTGGTGGCATCGACATCCACACCCACTTCCAGATGCCGTACCGTGGAACCACAACTGTGGATGACTTTGCTCAGGGATCAAAGGCTGCTCTTGCTGGGGGCACGACCATGATCGGTAAGAGCTGTAGGAAAGGTCACCCACAGAGGAAAATCAGCTTTTCAGACACAGATTAAAGCTAAAATGAGGGGGGGGGAGAGGAGGGCTGAAACCCTAACAGAGGACAAGAGCTGGGAAGCGGTTGTGGTTTGTTTTTGGGCAGCTCTCCAAAAGACGACCATACAAAAGACTGAGTGTAAGGGGGTGGTTTTAGGAAGGGGGGCAAAGAGTGAAACGCCGCTCCCACGGAAATACAACACCAGTGTCTGTCTGCATGCTCCTCTGTGTACAGTGTGGGTTTATATGTGTGCTTCATGTAGCTGAGACGCCTTCGCAGCCAACAGCTGGTAGGCACCACAGTCGCATTAATACCATTAACTTCTTTTGAGCTGGCTGATACTCTGCTTCTTGTCTGCCAGTGTGGCTCTGTGTTTAAACAGACACATTCACTAACTGGGGTGCTACTGTAGTAAGCTCTATTCATGGGTTCCATTCATTGAGGGATTATATACTAGCGGGTGATGTGTGAAAGAGAAAGTTAAAATATGTACTGTGGTTGTACTCTGTATATCTTTCCATCCCTACAAACAGATGATGTTGTTTTTTTGTTGTTTGTGTGATGCCGAACAAACAACTAATTCAGATGGTTGACATAGAAAAAAGTAGGTTTTTTTTGTGACTGTCGTTTCCAGCTCTATCCTATTAACATGCAAAGACCAGATAAGCAGATTAGGTCATCCTTAATGAGATAAAGAAGCCGGTCAGGTGGTGAGCCAGCAGGCGGCCTTATTGTTTTACAGCTGAGTAAGATGGAGTGGGATTTTTTGTGCATGGTGATACTGTTGTGTACGATGAGGATTTACTGGCCATGAATAATTTCAGTGAAAACAGACACAAAAGATATTCACAGAGTGAATCTTTACCTTCCAGGCATGCACAAAGGCAAACATGTTTGCATAAACACAGTGAATCATGCAAATATACACATTAGAAATCTTGTCTATGTATTTTGTTATATTTGTAATTGTATGTGCTGGAGCATAATACTGCAGCTAATGGTTACCAGAGTTTTTGAACATCTAAATTCTATATGAATTTTTTTTCCTAACTCATGTCATTGTGCCCTCACAATATCAATCAAACCGCTGTCCTAAAATTATTAATTTTAAGAATGCTTTGCAAAATGTTTTTGCAAATGAACTATCCAGTAAACAATATATATGAATTATATTTAACAATATGTTTCATTGTTGCTTTTGTGGGACTATTCTGATTAAAATTTAGCTAAATCTTACTTGTCAATTACAGTAGGTTTGTACACTTCAATTAATGTATACACTAAACACCGTAACACAATAACTTCAAAATGTTTCGTGCCATTACAGGCAGTAAATCACTGCACCACTAAATGCATTTTTAGAATGGGTGGTCCCATTGGGAAAATCGACTACCCTTGTCTGCCAAACTCCGGCCTAAGAGATTGATCATGCTTACATAATGCAAAACAAAAGTTGGAAAATAACCAGAGTTGAAGCGGCCCCTAAACTTATCAAGGACACCAGCACCCAGACAAAGATGTTCAAAATGTAATGTGACATCTGACAAGGTTGGTCCCCAGTGGCTGAGCACTGCAGCAACTCAGACAGACAGCTGATTATGCAAGATAAACAACACAGGGAGAAAGTAGAAACACCAGCAGACAAATCCTGACATCACCCTGTCATCTCTCGGACTCCCCAACCCAACCCACTCTTTGTGACCCTTTCTCCCTACAAATTTCTCTGCTCCTCCTTTCATGCACCCCTCATCTTTCTGTCCTTTGTCCTCTATCATCTATCTCCTCCAGTGGACCATGTGATCCCAGAGCCCGGGAGCAGCCTGATGGAGGCCTATGACCAGTGGAGGCAGTGGGCCGATGAGAAATCCTGCTGCGACTACTCCCTCCATGTGGATATCACCCACTGGAACGACAGCATAAAACAGGAGGTGGATAACCTAATCAAGGAGAAAGGTAGGCTGTGATGGTGTAACATAACAACTGACTAAAGAAGTGAGTGTCTGTAGTGTGTTATATGTTGCCTCTTCTAATTAGAGAAAGCATGAAAATGAAGCTAGAAAGCTAAATACAACATCAAAAAACAAACAATAAAAATTTGAATACAGTTTAACTTGCCCTGGAAAAAGTAACTATGCTACAGAGTGAGACAAATGATGAATAAAAGACTCAAATCACACCTTTTTCACAGTTTATCTTATAACCACCATGGACTTTTCACGTATTCTTCTTCATGTTGTGTGTCCTTTGTTACAGGTGTGAACTCTTTCCAGGTCTACATGGCTTACAAGGACTACTACCAGATGAGCAACAGTGAGGTACAATAACTGTAACTTAGAAGGATACTTTAAAGGATAGGTTCACATTTTGACAAATTTTTTAAGTAAATTCGTTCTCTCCATACTGGCAATGAAGAGATGAAAAACTAAATCTACAGTTCTACTTTTGTGAATGAATGCACAAGCTAATATGAAGCCTCTGTTGTCTGACTTAGACAAATCTAGTGGGTAACTTCCAAATTGAAAGTCTTTTTAGTACAAAATTTTGCTATTTCAGGTTACAGAAGCCCTAATGTTAACTTTGCACGGAATGAGGACTGTTGCTTTTGCCCCCCATCACTTACATTGAAATCGTTTTAGGAAGGGTTCTCCTTCGCAGCCAGTATGGACAAGAGGAATGATTACAGCGACCAAAAACTCTTACTCAATATACGTATGGATATGAGTATTTTTTAAGACAGACTTAAAAAATGTGAAACAGTGTGAACACGCACATGAACATTTGGCATGTGAGGCTGCACTAGAAATCCCAAACAGGGGATGGTATGATCTTGGTTTGCCTCAGTGTGTAATTTAATATCATTATCTTATTTAAGCAATCAAATAAGAGTAATTTCAGTCAATATAATCAATCACTGCTGACTTGCTGAGAAACTGAAGAGTCAAGAGGCTAAAAAAGTGACTAATTATGACCTTCAGTTGGCGTTCACTATAATACTCAAGATTTGTAAAGTTTTGGAAACGCATTAATCTTTTTTTCTCCCCTGAAATACAGGGTCCTTATGTAACTTGAAGCCTGTGATGTACAGTATAAGTCCAGATGATGTGAGGCAGGACTCTTCATGTTTCTCATGCGGCCGTGGCTAATTCGGTCGGTCAGAGGAGCACATGAGGCAACTGAAATAGTCCAGCCTGAAAAACTGATGTCATGCACCTCGCTAAGGAACTGTGGCACAGCAGCATAACAACAACTGCAGCTCATCCCACATGAGTTTTACCATTTCTGGAGACCACACACAATAATTGCAGTGTGTCGTGGTAGACATCATGTAAATTGTGGGCTTCTTTTAAATTGTGGCTTGAAGGCGACCCCTAGGATATAAAAGGAGTGTCTGATTCTTGTGTAAACAGCCAGGCAGGATTTTAAATATAAAAGCAGTGCCACTGTAATTTCACCGTTTCTGTGTCTTCCTCCTCCAGCTCTATGAGATCTTCACCTTCTTGGCAGAGAGAGGAGGCATCGCTCAGGTCCATGCTGAAAATGGCGAGATCATCGCTGAGGTAAAAACAAAGATAAATGAACTGAAAGATACAGCTCTCGAACATCTTCTTCTCCCCTGTCTCATATTCTTTACTACCCTCTCTCGTTCATTACTTGTCTGGTGCCCAACTCTGTGATCCCTTTTAGTTTAGTGAGATTCATTTCAGTTTTATTCGCTTCAGTTCGCCTTTCTAGTCTTATCGCAGTGCATATCCACTACCTACAGACTAAACACGCTGTCACTGATGAGAGTGATAATGTGTTTCCTGTAGGACAGTAATGTGTGGATGTAGTATACACAGGGCTGCGCTGTATTGTGGACAAATGAAAGTGAATGGACCTTAATAGTTGATGGATTGAGAGGGTTGGTATTAGTCAGAGCTCCAGACCATGCCTGCATTATGTCACAGTGTGTGTGTTGGATCTGATTCATCGCAAATCCCAGCTCTCCTACCCAGCCTTAAACTAGGACTTTGGAGGGAGTCTGATTTCCATCAGCTTTAAGACCAAAAATGTCTGAACCCCTGGATTATGTCATGACCTGACTATACTTTAGAGCTCCTGAGAGAGAGAGGCCTTGTTTAGACCTGTGTGTGATGAATGTTGTTAGTGCTGTAACCAAGTGACATGTCCTCACAAAGTTTATGTCTCATTAGTGAATTTGTGTGTAGGATTTATGAAAAACATGGATAATATATTAAAGGAAATCTGGGTTTTAATTTTATTAATGTAGTCATGCTGACTTTTTACTTACTACCTCCTCTGTAGAGATATTGGAAACAGAGACAGGAAAGGTGGGCAAGCAAATACGCCTCCTAAAGCTTTCCAAATAAACACTTGTCTTTGACTCCAATCATTCATATATTGCATGATTCGTTCAAAAAGGCCAACACAGGTATTACAAAAATGTCCTGAAAGGCTTTTATTGCTGTGTTCTAATCGCTGTTGCTTAACCATATGGAGCGTCTTCTAGTAGATTTTGGGGAAGTGAAACAGTTTCCAGCACGGCAATGTTGATCAGAGCTGCAAATTAGCTTGTTGTAGTAACACAGCTGGGATCACTCTCAGTGGTGGACGCTGTGTCTAGATTTTCCAAGTATGTCATCATCAAGTCACAATCCTAGATGTTTTTTTCTCCTCAGACAGCTTTGGAGAGCAACGACCACAGAAACACCACCAGACTCTTGAGTTACTAGTTGTCTTGCGGGATCGTCCTCTTGCTGCCTCTGTGCCTCTGCCTTTCTTTCTCCTTTCTTCATCTCCCTTTTGATTTAGCTTCTCCTCTGTGCGCTCTGATTGGAATAAATGTCAGCCATCAGTAATGACTCACATCCATCCTCACAATAGCCCACTGGATAACGAGCCATTGCACTTACTTTTAATTAATTTCCTTCTCTTCTTTCTTGTGTTTGCTACTGCTTTTCTATTTGTCATGCACACGCTAAATCAACAGCGACCCACAGCTCCACACATGTAATCAAACAAGCGTGTGTAGATGAATAGGCAGTCTTGGAAGGAGATCTATTTGAGGTCCACTTTTCCTGTATCTAACTTAGCATGACCCAAAGTCAAAACTGTCAAATTATGAGAATAAAACCCTGGTTGAAAAATATTGTTATTCTTCTTTAACACTTAAAGAAGTGCTTTTTGGGGAAGCATGTCATCATAAAGCAACCATGGTAACATCACAGACGCTAGTGGCTCCATGCAGGGGTCACCTAAGCATTTACTACAACACACCAGTGCAGCCAGAACTTTTTAGGAAGTAGGTCTACAGGTATACAAAGACCCTCAACAGCCCATAGATTCCCACAGTCCTCCGTGTGTGGCCTGACCCAGATGACAAAACTGCTGCTCATATCCTTCACACAGGCACAGAGAAGCAGAAACAGAATATCATTTTGGAGTGTGACCAAAGCCTTACATCAGCCAGAGCACTCAAACCACCAAACACCAGAAAAATAGTCCTGCATGTACATTATCTGTGAGCTAAGCAGCTCACAGCTTGCCTTTTGTGTGTTTGTTCAACAGGAGCAGGCCCGCATGCTGCAGATGGGTATCACCGGACCAGAGGGACACGTGCTGAGCAGGCCAGAAGAGGTACAACACACACACACACACACCCACACACACCTATACACACACACAGAGGCAGATACACATTCAGAAATCTGAACATCCTCTGTCTCTCGTACAAACCCATACACACAAGAGACATCGTCATAAAACACATCGAAGCTTCGAGTGTGTGCTCTTGTCTTTGTGAGGAAGACCTTAGACCTTACAAGTGAGGACATTTTGTCAAATTGAGGACATTCACTTTAAGAAATAGTCAAGGCAGTAACAGAATCTGGATCCTTATGTTCTATTTTACTCTAAATGGGACCATCATTTACTAAAGGAACATCATGCTGTATGGAAGAAGACTAAAACTAGAGAC